ATATATATATATATATATATATATATATATATATATATATATATATATATATATATAAAAGAGAAAAAATGTGTGTGTGTGTGTGTGTGTGCGAGCGGGTTTACCTATCCTTATGGGGACATAATGTCCCTATAACGTGATAAATATCCGTTTCCTGGTCCCCATAAGGGAAAACTCTATTTTATAAAAATCGGTGACTGCTATGAAAAGACTAAAAATCCAAAAACTCTTGTATTTTGTTAGGTTACTTATGGTTATGGTTAGGGCAGGGTGGGGGTTAAGGTTGTCATAGTTAGCGTTAGCATTTTTCCCATTGAAATGAATGAGCGGTCCCCATAAGGATATGTTTACCCTACATGTGTGTGTGTGTGTGTGTGTGTGTGTGTATGTGTGTCTGTGTGTGTGTGAAGAAGCTGCACGGTTTACATAAATCACGTTTCTGCCTGTCAGAGATGCAGATGTAGTACCGCGGTATGTATTCCACAAGTGTGTGCGGCTCACAGTGTAGAGCATGAACATTACTCTCTACTGTGTAGCTGCACTTAGCACCGGTGCCTTGATGTTGTATTATCCCCTCTAGGAGTGTTTTGAAAAGTCACTAATTCTTTTGAGGTATCAGATTCATAAAAGGGCAGAATAAATGTTTTAATTATATTTTTTCCCCTGAGAAAATTTTTGAGGATTTTTTCCCCCTACTGTGAAATAGATTTTATATGGGAACAATATTTTAATGCATTCAAATATTGCTAATGTGTGTAATAAGAGAATCATCAATAATATATTCTCCATTATCATCATTTTCAGCATGCTGTGAGCCTGTAGATCCTTTCACCCCTGTATGCTAATATACCAAAACCTACTGTAAACTACTGTGAAAATCACCTAAAAACTCCCATAAACTCCCATTTACACCTCTTTTCATGGTTTGCCAGTTTGTTCTGTGTTAGCGTATTTTGTTTATCAAGAATCTCTATATAGCACCACCAATCATTCAGTCCTAAAAGCATTTTTAAATCTGAATTGTTGCAGATTAAGTCTCTATTCAGTCTGAGAAGCACTGTCTTTATTGAATATGAAGCTGATTTTTCTTATGATATTTGACCGAATGAAACTGAAAAGCCGAATAGGACATGGACGTTTATAAACATTTATAAACTGTTTTGTAATGTTTGTGATTTCTTTGTGTTGCACACACTCACACACACACACACATATGTATTTATAATATGCTCAAAAGACAATACACTTGGAAATGCATGCCACCATAAACAGTGTGAAACAACCCCAGGCCTTTATATCATAGTGATAACATAATCAGTGTAGCTCCGATATAGAATCAGCTAAAACAAGAATGAAGTAGCAGCTTTCCTGTGTCCTTCTGTAAGCGGCACGACACCAGAGCGTTCCTTCGCCCGCAGGTCCAGGAGGGAGACGAGCTGGCAAAGAGGAAAAGCATAGAAGCCATACTGTTAATACAGCAGCAGAGGGACTTCCAGAAGGAACTGGGTGACACCAAGGCTGCGGCTAAGGGCCATGAATCAGCCTCAGCCATCTTCAGGCAGAAGTACCAAGCCGCTGTGGAGAAGGTCCAGCTACTGGAGGGCCAGTTGGCAGGCCTCGAGGAGGAAGTCCGCTACTCCAAAGTCCAGGTGAGTAATCCTGCATCCACACTTGTCATTGTGCAATGTTGATGCTGTTGCTCGTGTCGAGTGTTTTTTATAGCTATAGATGATTTCATAATGCATTATAATGCATTCATGAAGTACTTTAAACACGGCTATATGAGAATTATGAATGCTATATGAAGCTGTCATCTAATGTACTATAGATACCTTCATAATGCCTTATAATGGTCAGTATAAGAATTAAGGTTGTTTTATTCTGCATTATGAAGGTATTTATAGTGCATTTTAGATGAGAGCCTGATAGCATTCATAATGCATAATAAACAGGGCTATAAGGTGTTATTCCTTTACATGTATATGAATTGTTGTAGCCCTGTTTATGAATGCATTATAATGCATTATAAGTGACTGCTTTAAGTGTTACAAAATTCTATTTAGTTTAGAAATTACTTTTTTGTTTTATTTCTGATATACTTTTTGTTCTGAGAAAAAAATATGCGAAAGCTTAACAACGGTTAAAAAAAATACTGTGCCACTGCCTTGTCTGCATGGAATTTGAGTATTGATTTTACAATGATTGAAATGACCTTCTCCCCAAATGAGCTAGCATCCAGGCCAGTGCCATCCGTAATACTCTTAGTCGATTATTCCTGTGGATTGACTCGCATGAAGATTGAGAGGGTGAATGAACTTGCAAGTTCTCTTTGTTCCTCCACCCTGTCCTTTGATCACGACCTTGCACTGTTACTTTGCATATATGTCGAGATCCTTTCATTTTTAAGTGTCCCTTCTGGTGTACAGTGAAGAGTGAATGTGCGCCATTGCTGATAGCAGAGCACCATAATTGCACTGGTGTGTCCATGTGTTGATTGTGATCTGCATGATTGATTAATCTGGATGTTTGCTTATTAGACTTAAATGATCACAAGTATTGATTTTCTTGGCTACGATATTGGATGCACCATATTCTGGTACATTTCTTTTCTGGGAGCTTCCTGTTGTCTATTTTGAGGGATTTGGGAAACTCAGATGTTTAACACGTGTTATAGATTTTTGTAAAACATGCATGTCTTTTGAAAAATGGATTCTGAGGAGAGAGAGAGAGAGAGATTATTTGTACCGGTTGACCGTTTGCTTATTTTCCACATTGTGATGCACTTGAAGGTTATGAAACCAAAACAGTTTAGAGCAGTTCTCAAAGGGAGAGTGCAGGGTATTGTTTCGTAGAAATAAACTGCTGTTTTGGTATCTCGTTATCTGACAGGAAATACAAGCAGAGCTGATGGTTTTAGTTTTATCCAAAGCTCAAGTGTGTCAAGGTAGGTACTTGGTACTTCTGCCTGAAGATGGCTGAGGCTGATTCATGGCCCTTAGCCGCAGCCTTGGTGTCACCCAGTTCCATCAGATGTGTTTTCAAGGCAATGTTTTGGCCACCAATTTGTGTCCGTAACAATTTTTTATTGCCTCCAAACCAAAACTTGCAATAGAATCCAAGTACAGTGGTACCTCAGAACTCGAGTTTAATCCGTTCAGAACTCCGGATCGAATCCTAAAAAGTTCGAGTTGTGATCGAATTTTCCCCATAAGAAATAATGGAAAACCAATTAATTGGTTCCTGGCCCCAAAAAATTATACCTAAATATGTTTTTTTTACCATTTAAACACAAAATGAACCGGATAAAACAAGAGCATATACTGTACTAAACACATCTAAGCACATTTATCAAAACAGTAATTTGTAAAGTAGGAAAATAAATGTATCCAAACAATGTGTCCTGCCCCGATCGTCCGCTCCTTCCGTGTGCCACGCCCCCTTGTTAACCTCGTGTGGAATCCCCGTGTGATCAGCTGTTTCTGGTTGTTGTCATTAGTCCTCTATTTCATCCGCGTTTCAGTTTGTTTCCCCAGTCTGGTCATTGTATTGTCCGTCTGTGTTTTGCCTGCCTTACCTGTAATTAAACCCCATATTCCCCGATACCCTGACGTCTGCGCCTTTGTCTCCGTTCCGTCCCCGCTCGGCACGACAATATTATTATAATTAAACGCATTAACGGTTTATTATTAATATTAAAATAATGAATAAGAAATCTATTTTTAAATGTATTTAATTATATAATTAATTACTTTTACTGTCTATCATTGTCTAAATGTATTTTTACTGTCTAAATATATGTACTCAGCTAGTGTAAACATGCACGGTGCTATCACAGCTAATGTGAGGCTGAGACGTGCCGCGTGACTCATTTCCCCGCGCGTACAAGTTATCTTAGGTCGGCGTTCACGGTTTGACTTCTGAGATTCAGATCGAGCTCTAGGTAATTTTTTTTCGAACTAGTTGGTTCGACTTTTAAGAAATTCGAGTTCTGATGAGTTTGAGAACTGAGGTACCACTGTATTGTTTTAAAATGCTAAACGAAGCATCATCATCACAGAAGTATGTTGTTCTGAGCTGTGCAAGTACTTATGCTAGAATCTTCTCTGCTGACCGTCCCGTGTCTTTCTTTGAGAAGGCCTGTCAGGCCCAGGAAAAGGTCAGTGGCTTGACAGCGGAGATCCTGAGCCTGGAGCGCCGCTACAGCGAGAAGTGCGGACATGCGGAGAACTCGGCAGAAGCCATCGACCAGCTGGCCGAGGAGCTCCAGTCGACGCAGGAGGCCCTGAAGGTCAGCAGAGACCGCATCTCAGAGTGCGAGCAGCTGATCGGCAGGCTTGGGCGGCGAGTACACATGCGACAGGAAGAGGTGAGACATTACACCAGCAGCGGGACAGGCCGCACCCCTGCTCCCTGCCATTTCATTGCTTACTCTCAGCAACGTGGAATTCACTCAGATCAGTGTCACTTAATAACTCTGGTGAAAAATTCTTCAATCTGCATCGGTCTGTCTATTTTCATTTTAACTGTTTATCTGTTATCCAAACCACTGGAGCCTATCCCAGCCAAGCATGAGGAAGGCGAACAATTTTTGTATTTGTTGATATGCATTTAAACATACTCAAATACACCAATATATAATCATTTTCTCTTTATTAATATAAATATCCAAAATAATTATGAAATATCTACTACTGAATTTTGTATTAATTAAAGCACATCACCGAGGTATAATGCTAGTGTTCCATTTGATATTTGGTTTTGGCGCGATCAAGGATGTTTACTGTGTGCGGCAACAAATGAATGATTTTTTTTTTATTGCAGCGAGACGTAATTTGTATGAACTGCTGCCTGCAAGGTCAGGCTGGCAGAATGAAATTTTAATCAAATAAAATTCAATTTGTATGTTATAAAAGATCAGCCAGTTTGAGTTTACTGTATCTGATACTTTATTACATTTAGTAATGAGTTTGAATTTATTGGTTTTGTTAAGGGGAGTATTTGCAACACTTTGCTTTAATAAGTCTCACACAGAAGAACGTGCCGTCATTTTTACGCTCTTACTTGTCTGCTGGGAAATCCTCTGTTCATAAATTGATGGCTTGATGATTTTATATTACTCAGGTTCTTTTTCTGTGAGACGTTGCATGAAAAGTTGAACCCTACTGGTGAAACTGAATTCATTATCTGACCAAAAGGCACACATATGTCTCTTTAATCATTTACCTTTTAATCAGAAATGGCTGCTTCAAGCTACACTGCATATGCATAAAATAGAAATTATGGAAATGGCTTTTCGCTTCTTCCTCCCTCGGAATAAATGGACCCAGCTCCTAGAGCGTGAGAAGGCCTCCCTGGATCTCCATTCGGACTTGGCGTCATATCGACTGAGTCACAGTCACTCCAATGAGGAGTACGGAGCTTTACAGCAACAGTGTGACCTCCTGAGAAAGGTAAGCGCTCTCAGGGGGGGGAATCCCCCTTCCTCTCTCCCTCACACCAGGGGTGTCTGCCGTCCCGTGGCACAGAGGACAGCTCCTCAGAATCTCTAGGAGCAGGGTCGCAGAATCTATTTCAGACCCAGTATTTGCCTTTCTGTCCTCTTTCAGTAGTTTCACTGTATTTCGGAATCCTTCATTATTCAGCGTTACATTGATGTTAATGGTTAACAGTTTTTTTGTTGACATTCTGATGCTGTATTATGACTAAATTGGAATAGCAAGTGAAATATTGACTGATTGGTAGTTTTGATTTTTTTCTTCCCACGATGCCTCTCTGTTATCCGGTTACATTACCTTGAGCAGCCTGGTTATCTTGGCATCCTAGTTAAAGTATTTAAAAAAAGAATTAATCTATTTTTCCGCCTTGGTCCCTTTATTATATGGATTTGGTTTCATTAAGATCAGGGGGAAAGGCTTTGCTCCTGTTCTTTGCCTGCCCAGGATCTGGAGTCCCTGCAGCGGCAGTACAGGGAGCAGGGCGAGAGGGCCGTGGGGCTCGAGAGGGACATCCAGGCGCTGAAGGCCGACACCATGAACCGGGGGGCGGAGCTTCAGAGGCGCGAGGACGAGAACCGCAACCTGGAGCACACCCTGCAGTCGCTGCACCTGGACGCTGCATCGGCTCACCAGGACCACAAGGTGGCGCTAGCCCGGCTGGAGCAGGAGGTGGCTCAGCTGGAGCGGGACCTTGCCGATTCCAGGAGAACCTGCGCCCAGAAGGACCAGGTGGCACTCTCGCTTTATTCTCAGCTTGTCTCTCTTTACCACTCAGAGCATTAGCGGTGAAGATGTTAGCTTCTACTAGCTTGTAGGCACGCTCACACTGGTATGGATGATCTGTGTATTTGTGTCACATGTCATACATCACACGTCGCAGGGCGCGATCTACAGGATCCGGGGTTACCTTAAAGTGTTTCTCCGCTATCCAGCAATGCGGAAAAGCATGGCTAGTCATGCGCAACTGCACAGCACATGCAAAATGCACAAAACGGTCTAATGCATCCACAGATACAGTCATACAGCAAAACTGTCACTCTTCCAAAAAAAAAAAAATTAATAAATAAATACTGCAGTGGTTTAAATTGATTGTGGATACATGTGAGTGAGGAAGATGAATAACAAGTATTTCATAAGATTAAGCAGAAAAACAATAAATTGTGCCCCCAAGACCTGCTTATTCCTCTGCATGTGTAATATGGGAAGACTTATCCTTAGGCTAGGAACACAAACAGCCTGACAATCATGAGTCTGCCCGCTAATTAATGGGCCTTGCTGGCCACAGAAATAAAATATTGAATTCTGGTCATGCTCAGGGCTCTAAAAGGGGCCGTTTGACAATGGAATTGCAGAAAAGGGCTCCTTTTTTTTAGATTACATTTTAATCTGTATTTTCTTTGTGCTTAAATTACATTACAATAGTACTAGCTGAATTCTGGCTTGAACTATGTGGAGGTAATTCTTTATAGTGTAATTTTTTAGAATGTAATTTGTTATAGTGTCCAAGGATGGTAAAATAATTCAGTGTGCTGTATTTTTCTGTCTGGCTTTGTTGGTTGTTATCTGGTGGTCGTCCCTTTGCTAACATGATCCGACCTCCCGGGCAGAGCTGGTTAGCCGTTGAAGAGCATGTGGCACGCCAGCGTGGGTAATTAAAGGCTCGCGTTAAATGCAGGGGAGGCCCTCGTTACACAGATCTGCCTCTCATTGGTTGACAGGAGATAATTACTCTGGGATCAGTTTTAAAGGAGCCGTGCCAAGAGAATGCAATTTGCCGCAATTAAGACACGAAAAGGACGTTAAGCATTCAAATTAGGGTGAACATGATAGGACATGATCGGGGGCTGAGTGGTGGAAGCGCGCCAGCCCGAGGCAGGCATTCGTGGGTGTCGAGACGAGCCACGTGGGAGAGCTTGAACACGCTGGCATTTCTCCCACAAACGCTGCTTCTTTCCATTCAGATTCACTCGTTCAGTTTGTTGACACTGTGACTGACACAGCAGGTAAAACAAACAGTGACAGAACTAGGCCTGAGTGGTATCAAATTTTGCGTACCGTCAAATCGTCTAGACTTTATACTGTTGTGTACGGTATCTTGACGGTATTTTCAAAAGCAGCGCTATTGCGGCGTTTTGAAATCTTGGTGATAAAATCTGCTGAAGTGGGAGGAGTCTCCCAGCTCCCTGCTCTGCTAATTTTGCTGACGATTTCAAAATGCCACGGTATACCCAAAATCGGAGTAAATAATTCGGAAAATAAATCAAACCTGTTTACCGCAGCTGAGTGGAGTTTCTTTAGCTATCTCCTCTGTCCATCAGGCTCTCAGGGTGAGAGCTGACCTCCTAAAGAGGTGTGAGGCCGACCGCATCCAGGCCAGGGAGGCCTTTAAGAGCAAGGAGCTGGAGCGGCAGGCCCTGGAACGCACCCTCGCAGACCTGAGGAGAGAAGCCCAGACCTGGGAGGAAGAGAGGAGCCAAAGAGAGCAGGAAAATCTGTCCCTCCGGGCTGAGGTGAAACAGCTGGAGCAGCAGATGCGGGAGCTGCACAGGCAGCACAGGCAGAGCGGTGAGGAGCGCCTCCACTTCCTGGCAGTTTGTATCCCACGCTTACCTGCGCTTACGTAACTCCCCGAAACACCAGCAGTCTCCCACCCTCACCTTTTAGGGCGAGACCCTTGACAGCCGTGAGTGTTTTTGAGACTTCAGAGTGAATCTTAATTATGATGAACCGCGTCTCCGTCTCCATTGCGTTTGGTGGTGTGTAGTGTGTTGTTCGTACAGTCAGTAGGGTACTTTATATCAGCTCAAGTGGGCATAGGAGACCATGCCAGCAATATCTGTTAGTGCCAATCAGGGAATGAGCAAAGGTAAAGGACAGATACTAACTTAACTTGCTCTTACATTTAGTTAGCTTGAAGTTCTCTTGTGTGGTTCCTCAATGGTGGGATGAGATGCTGAACCATGCCTCGTCATCAGATTTGCTCTTTACCTTCAAGAAACATCTCAAGACCCATCTGTTCCAGGAATTTCTCTACTAGACTGATGCCTCATTAGGTTCCACGTTACACTTCTGGTCCATGAATAGTCTTATTAGGTTCTTGCTTTGTTAGATGTTGTTTTGTAGCTCCTGTCCCAACCCTGCTTATGCCTGTACCACTGGAAGTTCAACCTGGCTGCACTTGGCCTAGTTGACTCCTGGACAGCACATATGATTGAGACGTGCTATTTGTCTCACTTGCATGTCGCTTCTAGCATCTGCTAATTATGTAAAATGTAAATGTACATATAGTTTGGTCACCCATGTGGTATTCTATGCTTTTCTGTAGTCTCACATTTAATATGAATTATAGTATATCACTGGATTTTTTTTAAGACACAATGGATCCCTGAATTATGTAGAGATATTCTGTGAGCAAGAATTATAAGCTGAAAATAGTACTGTCGTACATTTTATAAATATTATTTTATCTTCAGGGTGAAGTGCATGAAATGTAATTTTGAGCTTATATACCTTTTATTTGCAAGCATTGAAATATCAAATCATACTGCTGATTACCAACAGGAATGATGGATATACATCCAAGAAATGGATGCTGTTCCACAATTTAAAATGTAAAAGATTATTCTTTGGAATTTAAAACGATAATTCGGGTTATATTTTTTATGTTACATGCGTATTAGGATTTGGTCGCCATTAAAGTCATTTGGAACGTGAGGAGTGAATTATTTAAGCGTTAAGAGACAGCTGGGAGGAGCAGCTCTAACAGCCACGGAAAGTTTCTGGGCCCGAGGCCAACCCATATTTTGCCCCAGCAGTCAAGCTCCATGGTGGTGCGGCCGGCAACAGACATGGCCCAGCCCCGGGAACCATCTGCAGAAGGTCCGTGTAACGGAGGACGCAAATCAAGTGTGCACCTGCTCATGAGTCACCTGCACCCTCTGTCACTTTAGGAGACTCACCGGCAAGATATATATTAAAAACCACTAAATCTGCATACTTGCTTATCAGATTAGTGTTAGTAGTTCTTAACAGCCACCATTACTATACAGCTTCAGGATAGTTATTTAACTTGCTGATATTTTTTATGTGTCTTTGCTGGCAACAGGCATGTAATAAGACTATTTTGTGAAATCTTAACATAAATTCTCTTGTTTTTTTGTCTGATTTGGCTGCCCCTTGTCCCTCAGGAATTCTTCATACCAATTTTTAATTAAGTGGAAGGAGTAAAATCCTTATCTCCCGATGAGTCAGTCTGAGATGAGCGCCTCTGATAGTGCCTGCTGTCCTCCAGGGACTCGCTGAGATCACTCTGCCCCCTCCCTGCATGTCAGTTTGAAGAGCACAAAGAAATCACTTAAAAAAGAAGAAGAAGAAGAAGCTTCTCCTCTGAAAGACGCGATTACCAGCAGAGGAAGAGGAAACGACAGCTCCTCCAGTCTTTATCCGTCACTGTTTAAATTCGCGGAAGACAATGGCTCTTGTGAATACGTGCCCCTCACAAGCGCTGTTTTCTGTTATCCAGCGTGGTCCCCCCCCTCCAACCCTCACCCTGTTCCCCCTGCCGGTGCCGTAACAGGTGCCTGGGCACAGAGGCTGTCAGTCTCTGTCAGAGCGCTGGAAGCATCCCTCACCTTAATGATGGGGCCATGTCCACCGCGTGAGATACAGAGATACGCCTGGTAATGATTCACCTTTCCCGCTGGTGGATCCCTTGCGGAGATCTCATCATATGCAGCAGAGGAGGCCTTTGTTCCCCATCCGAGTCCCCGAATCCCTAACCCCCTCCTCCGAGGTGACGCCACTGTTTCCCATGCTGATTTGTCTCATTAAGAATTAACTCGTGCAACCTGCAGTTACCAGGGGACCGTCCCCCCGCCAGGGTCCGCCTCCGTTCGGGGTTCCTCCATCAGCCAGAGCGACGCGCCCCCTTTGCCTGCTGAGACACGTTTATGATCTTCCCGCAGTGCTCCTGCCTCACCGGGCCACTTCCGCGTCCCCTCCAAACCGCAATGGCGTTAAAATGCCTTCGGCCCTGTTTAATACACCGACCGTGTTTCCATTCATGTAATGGAGGAAGAAATCATTGAAAACCAGAAAACAAGTAGGGACCATTGTGTGTTGTAAACTACTACATTATGCGTTATGTAATTTAGATTGTTTTTGTTTTAAAATTTGTATACACACACAAAATATAATTATAAACAAAGAAATTAAATTTGGCTGACAAACGTCTCCTGCTTGTCCTGATTTATCTCTAATTGTCCTAATTTTCCGGCCTCAGATGCAAAGCCATTCCCTCTAATGCCAGACGAAAATCACACTAGCTAAACTAGGCTTGATACGGCAGGCAGTAAATCTCACCTCGCTGGCTCACAGCTTATTACCCGATGGATATATAATCATCACCCTGAATATGGTGCCCACGGTTCAGAAACCACGCCTTTCGCATTGGACTTCGCTCTGAACTCATAATCTCCGGCACCGAACCGGAACCCGGTCTGGATTGTTAAAAACTGTATGTTAGGTTACACTGGTGTCGTTATTGAGCATTACATGCAACAGAAAGACAGTTTTACATGGGCTTGTTTCATACACCGCAATGTCCGCTGTTATACATTACTTATTTTACTGTTTGGCAATACTGAACTTGTCCGGAATAGTAATGGAATCTTATTAAACATGCACTCGCTTCCACGCAGGCTGAGTGATCGTGAACTTTCCTTCTTAACGAAAGATGTCCTGAACTAATGATCAGGAGGCACCTGGCCTTATTTCTCTAAAATATGACACCCCCTACATTTACTCTGATATGAGCCAGAGGGTAGCAATATCCCTAATGAGAAAGTGGATAATCTACCCTTCCATGGATTTCCTTTCAGCAGCACAAATGGTGGCACAAGATGTATTTTTTTTATATTAATTAAAACTTTGGTTCGATTTCCTCCTAAGAACAGCATTTCTCTCTCTTGTCTTAAGCTTCCTGTGTTTTCACCGCTTTCTGCAGCTGCATATGGAATGATTTAAAGGTGTTATTGTGGATGGGAAATTGTGCACTGCTAAGTCAACTTTCCAAGTTTTGCATAATTAAACATATAATGTGTAATGTTACTGGTGCTGCAGTTCCAAAGGAACTCCGATTTAATGCTTTACGTTCAAATTTGCATACATATTAACTAATAGTAATGGATTTCTGTAATAGCTAACCATACGTGGAGGAAAAATGGAAATTAAATCATAAAAATTGTAGTATAAATGTAAGGATTTTGAGGGGAGGGGGGAATTGCAATTCCCTCATTATTTCAATAGCAATAATAATAATATAAAGTATTAATGGAAAAATATGGAAATTTGCTTGTTCATTGCCCAGAAAGTGAATTGTAAATTTGGTTATATTTTTACATATTTATGATCATTTAAACTAAAATTTGGATCCTGTTATGTTTAAATGTGCTGGTCATAATAGGTAGTTACCAATACTAATAGCTTGGCCCAATAACCTTTTAACTTTCCTAGGGGGAATTAATTTTTGTAACTGTTTTAAGCTGTAATTCTCCTTTTAAACCACATGAATCACTTTAAAGTTATCATTTTATTAAAATTCTTATATTCTGCATAATGCAATCATTATATGCAGAAAATACAGATAAAAGGTTTTTTTATCTCCGCTCCGCAAAGCCTCAACGCCTGCGGAAAAAAACCCTCAAAAATCCTGTTTTGGTTTTATTTGACAGACATATATATATATACAGTATGTGTGTGTGTGTGTGTGTGTGTGTGTGTGTGTGTGTGTATTCAAAAGTATAGGAAGTAGAATCATTACCTTATAAGAAAGCACATACTTATTCCCTAACCAGTGCATGCTCATGTTGCTCTGCTGTTAATGGAATAAAAACATAAAGTGAGGCACCCATTATCAGTTGAAATAAAACTGCAAAAGACAAATTCTTGGAAAATATGAAAGGCCCATTTTCCTTCCCCAGGACTGAAATATCCATTACTGAGATCAGCTCTTGCTGGCCTTTGATATCTGCATTTTTCCACAGCAGTGTCAGAGCGACAACACCGAGGCCATACACCCCCTTCCCTCTTCATGTCCAGATGATAAAAACATATTTTGCTTTGGTGAAATTTTGCCTCCACTCAGTTTGTTGGTCCTTTACCTTTAAATCGCCCGTTCCAGGCCAAGCGGCCAACTAGGTTTGGGTTCTGTTAGCTTTGACAGGTCAAAAACATCATAAAGATATTTAACATGTATTCGTGGTTAAACGGCAGCTGAGATGGTATGCGTGCTGGTCAAGTTCTCTAAGGTTTTAGATCGAAGTCGCTGATGTCGGTGAGTGCTGTGTGTCTCAGTATGTTAGCATGCTGCGACTATGATTGGAAGGTTGCTGGTTCAAATCCCAGGGTCTATAGAGTTATTTCACTGTTGGCTGACCCTGCTTTCTCAACAATGCATGTCACTTTGGTAAAACCATCTGTTAAGTAAATGATAAGAAGCTAATAACAGACAAATTGAAATGTCACTACTGGATGCTCACTATTTCTATCCCTTAAAATCAAATTATAGCATGTGGTGCTTACATATTTTAAATTGTTATTGTAAGTTATGCCAGTGTTTCTTAACCCAGTCCTCAGGGATCTGGAGGAGTAAAAACTCGGAGGGAGCAGAAATGTGTTCCATCTGGAAGTCCTTAAAGGCCAGGTTGTGAAACACCGATTTACGCTGTTGCTTGGTATCTGCTTGACTTCGCTTGTTTTGCTCAAATAATAGCAATTAATGATTTTACCTGTATGCAGTTGTTCATAGTGGTACTAGTTACTGTATACCAGAATGCAGCTATGTAAGCTCTGTTGTGTATTTCTGGTATTTTATATAAAACCCTCATTTATATTAATGTTATTTTTTATACGAAGTACATCATTTATATGCATATTCAGATAATGTTTAGTTGTACTATTTTTTGAGACCTTGATAGATTTCCTAACCTGGTCTTGTGCATTTGTTACTTACAGTAGATAATAGTGTGATTTATTTAGGTTAACTTAACAGGTATAAGCGGACCTATGAAGGCCAAGAAGGTAGGTTCAGTTGTCTTCTTTCCATGCATTTATTAGGATGTGTTTGAAAAGGCTAAGTCATAATCGACACAGAACGATCTACCCCATGACAGGTTCAGCAATACCATTCAGTTCCTACTCTAGCTCTCCGGTGAAACGAAAAACACAGTGCAGCTTTCAGAAATCATAGTGGACTTTGACACCTCTAGAGTGAATATGTCTATAAATAATATCCCCTGTACTGGTAATCAGGGTGTAAAGCATAGGATGTGACCAGGGCTACTGTATTTGTTTCTCAGTTACTGTCATCAAATTTTAATTAGAATTTAAAAAAGATATTGTTGCTAATGCCAATGTTCAATTTATGACTGCTGCATCAACTTACTCAGTAGTTTAGAATATATTATAAAATCAGCCATTTTTTTCCAGGCAATGCTTCTTTAAAGAGTCATGTTGATATTTAGGCATGTTGATAGATTTGACAACTGACTGGCAAAGCGAAAACAACAATGGACTGATCGGGTTTCGAATATAATCGTCGGGATTGGGAGGCTCTGACAGTGTACGGTTTTCATTCCGAATCTGAAGGACACTTTTTAAAGATGGTTGAAGGTGCTCTTGAAAAATGAAGCGAGAACGCATGATTTTACCATTCGATGATTCATACCCTGCCTTTATTAAAGCAGCAGAACTTCAGTTAAATTTTAACTTTTAACATTTCAGGCATTTTAAAACTTTCTATGAGCGAGTCAAAATGCCAAAAAATGTTAAGCATAACACCGAGGATGTCGGCCTTGCAGACCGGGTTCATTTATCTACAGTTTTTAATTTTCCTAAAATCTTTGCAGGCTATTGAATAGTAAGATTCTTAAACTAAAGATGTCAAACGACATCTTTAGTTTAATGACATCTTTTTATTATTATTATTATTATTAAACATCCCATTTTCCCTCAATGGCATCATAAGATTAAGAGGCTGAATATTTGTTTCCTGAATGCTTGTTATGCTAGTTATTTTTAAAATCACTGAACTTTACCTGTGTATTGTCTAGTTCAGTTTTTGAAATTCCCTGTTAAAGCTTATGGAAATCTTTAAATGTTGAGTATCAGAAATGGGAACCTTACATAATATTACGTAATAGTTTTGGGTTGGCATTATTGGTAGGTTTTAGTGATACAGTTCATTCTTTAGTATATAATTGAGCATTTTTGTAAGGACAAATGTTTTCAGCGGCACTTCCATCACATCAAAATCATAATTTTTAGAGTGTGTTCAATTCATGTAGAACACAATAAAGATTTATAATGAAGTGTGCAATGAAATAAATGAAACAGAAATAACGATACAGAAACTGGTAGGGGCAGAAAGCGTGTTCCATGAGTTTAAGTGGACGATTGACCTGTATGACGATGTTGACTAAATGAGTGTGAGCTGTTTGTCTCAAGAACCTGTGCTCATCACTGAAGAACTGAGGTTAAGAGTTCGACTTGCCCCCCAAACACTCCAGAACAACAGCCACCCCCCTGATGTGTGGGTTCTTTGGAGCTTTTTGCGATGTGCAGTGTTAATTTTAATGCATGATTTGAGCACCATCAATTTATAGCGACGTACACAGAGAGGTAGCTGCGGAAAGTAGCTTTGATTGTTCCCTCTCAAGCCTCAAGTGTCTGCATTAGATGCGTTGGCTCTCCTGCTGTCTTGTAGAATGAAGAAGCACATTTGCTGCCCTGTTAGAGATTTTTATTAATTCATTAGCTACCTCACCCGTAATCAGGGTTTAGTAATTAGCTACCTTAGCTGGACGCAACGACGCCCCTCCTGACTGTCAGGCCGTCCTTAGGTCCGTCCATCTTGTAACCGTCAGCTTAACCAAGAGAGCAGCATAATATATGAATACATGATGTCTTGTCTGCAGGAATAGGGCTTCATGGGAAAAAAAACCCTCGTCCGGCCCCAGCGCAAAAGCGAGCCATCTGATTGGCTGATGGCAGTTTGGTTCATACTGTAGGTTCATCAGGCCTGCGGTTGGGAGAACGTGCTGGTGTTACGTCGCGTTTCAGATGGAGGATTCAGAAAGTCGTTTCTGAGGCCAAGTATCTAAATGCAAATGTTGAAAAAGGGTAACGGCTAGGGGGTGGGTGGGTTGCGGTGATATATTTTATGCAGTGGGTCAAACGGTTTGCAGTAATGGCAGACCATTAAAAGGGCTTCATATGATGCATGCCTAACAGTTAATATGGTGAACAGTGTGGGAAGATTCAGATCAGAATAAAATGCTCCCTCCACGTTAATGAGGGCTCTGGTAGCAATAAACCAGTGCTGGATCTGCATCTTCTCACATAAACAAGCATGAATGAAGGCAGAAATTAATCAAATAATAATTAGCAGCACAGTAATATTTGTGTAGTTTTTGCATCAAAATATTTGAATGCTTTAGTGCTGTGTGTGTATATTATATTTTAAAAAGATATTTTTTTTTCCAAAGAAATGTTTAATTTTATAATCTGTCCATTAAGTGTACGACTCCAGCTGTAGAAATCTTAGAAATATTTCACGTTTGTGTCTCGAAAACCCCAAATGGTTGTCAGAAAGCCTGCATCTCCAGTGTGACCAGATCATTGCAGATAATTGTGTCGTGCGGGGCTATCGATCCGTAATGGCGGCGCGTCGGAAACATCTAAACAGAGAGTTCGGAGACGCATCGTCACACGGCATGGCTGTGGGGTGAAGCCGACCTCATTCAAAAATATAATAATAATACATATATGAATATATTATAATAAAAAAGAATCTTGGTTGAGACATCTGAGAAATTACTTCTTTACAAGAATCTATTGATCACTTTATATCAAAGGAGTATGTTTGACATAAGATTACCTGGCAGCTCTAACATTAGGTACACTCTGTTACAGCCTGGGGCACTTGTAAGGCTGCCAAAGGGATTGTAAATAAAGGAGCAGCTGTGGGTGCCTCTGGCTGTGAGTCAGCTTGGGCTCCCATCCAAAGCAAAGGTAAACTCCATTCAGTGCCATTTTAACCCCCACTTTCCCCTCCTCTGTCCAGCCCGTCTGAGAAACCTGGTTTAAAAGCGCTGCGTGCAGCGGCCACCTGATCTCAGGTCAACGGGGTCATTCCTATGGGCTTTTCTTTTTTTTTTTTTTTAGTATAACCCATTCGATGTGAGCTTTTCTCAAGCGAGCAGGATGGGACTTGGCCGCTCGCTCAGGGTGCCGCGTCGGATGCTGAAGCAGGTGGAGAGGTGCGCCAGCAGATCTCCTCCAGCAGGGTGTGAAAATGGCTCTATTGTGTTTATTCGTTGGGTGTCCGTCTCAAAGTTGCAATCCTGTTTCTTATTCTAAGTTTTACACATGAAACAAAGTGTAATCTAGTTAATATGGGCTGGAAATAATGATTGTGCATTAAATATTTAGTGATTGAAGTTAGCTATGCAATTTCCTGAGGCTCCTATTTAAACAGTTGAGTTTCTGTAATGCCATAAATTAATCATGGCCTCACCCTGAATCCTACTATGAATTTTTTGCCCCCACCTTGCCTCCTTGACCCCCCAGCACCCCCGTGGCAGTGAAAGTCCCAGTTTAATGCAACGGTGCTTAAAAGTTGCAATCATTGTGCTAAAGCTCATGCTTCAAAGCGGGCTGTGTTTCTGGATGGCCGTGATGCCTACATCTGAACGACAGGAAGAGAGAGGAAGAGAGAGGAAGAGAGAGGTTACGGAGCACAGCGATGGTTTTACGCAGAGCGGAGAGATAGGCGGGGAAAGCTCGCTCAGCTAACGTGACCGTTACAGCATCATCTCTTGCTTAAAATCGAGTACACGAAGCCGCAACGCTCCGTCAACATGGACGCCAGAGCCGCACATTTTACATATATAATCTTTGCACTAAATGTACTAAGTGCAGAACAAGGGGATTTCATTTCCTGTTAAATAAAGGATATTTTGCCTGAATGCAGCAGGCATTGTGAGTGCCTTCATGTCGAGAGTGCCATCTACTGATCAAAAATGGAAGCTGTTCTTTTGTTCCGCAGGACAACAAAGGTTCTGGTTCCATGGGTGGTACACAGATTTTTTTTTTTTATTCTTAACATGTCGTAAAATATCTTAACATTTTAAAATGCATTCAAGTCTGTCAGTGCCGAGTCTTTGTTACAGTATAGCAGTATTTAATTATTATGTTAAGTGATGTTTTTGTTTCCTTTGCAAATCTGCCTTCTGGTATAATTCATGGTTAAGTTCAACTGCAGCATTGTAGTTTGTTATTTTTGCAGGTAGTTTCAGTATCTACTTTAGTGTTTTTTTAGTTATTTGCTAGTGTGCATTGGCGAGGTACCCAGGGGTGACTCGTGTCATTTGGCTTTTGCTGAAATAATAAGATCTTTCTGATGGAGTGCTCAAAATGGCTTTCGACCGCGTTCCCGGCCTGAGCGCTGAGCGGCGGCGGGTTCCTCCATCTCACTGGCTTGTCTCCCCCTCACCCCCCCCAGTCCAGGCTCTGGCCGGCCACAAGGAGCAGACGACACTGCTGGAGGCCAGCCTCAGCGCCATGCGGGAGCAGCTCAGCATACGCACCGCAGAGGCCGTGCGGCAGGAGCAGGGTAGCCGGCAGGCCCGCGTCGAGCTGAGGAGCGCTGAGGGGAGGGCCCGCATCGCCACAGAGGAGCTCGCCCGCCTCAAGTAAGGGAGACACCGTGGGGAGGCGGGGCTGGGGTGGCGTGTTCACACCCGCCTTCGGAACTCAGTCCTGCATCAGCTTCCACCAAACTCCCCATGAGGAATTATTTCCACGGTCTTTGTCTTTCCTACTATATGATGTATTTATTTATTTCAAATGCTACTTTTTAAATTATTAAAATCAGCCAATGGCACAGACACAGTTACTCCTAGTTTGCTTTGATGGACAAAACTAAACATATGCTGTAGAAATCATCGAAATGGTTTCAAGGAAGAGTCTTCAATCATTACGGGAAGCCAAATCTTCTCCCAGCGTCCTGCATTTCGTTTGATGTCTTCTTTACAAAAGTCAATTCGCTACCACGTTCTCTGTGGTAGCTGGTCCTTACTCATACTCAGCATAAATGAACAAGATGTGTTTCTGGATACCAGAGCTGATTAAACATTGGAGTTTAATAAGGGAACTTTATCTGGAATGATTTTAGCTTTCAAACTCGCCAGTGTGCCAGCCCGTGCATTTGCATTAGAAAGCTCCACCACAGGTGTTAATGATTAACCTAAGTACGATTTAGAATTTTTTTTTCCTCAAATCTCCCCATGCCCTACCTGTGGGCCAGATAGCCCATCACACGTGAATTCCACCCCCTTCCCGTTTTCTCCCCATTGTAGTTACAGGTATGATTTTCTTGGCCCCCATGCAAACTTCGAAAGCGGGTGCACAAATCTCACCGGATGTCTCCCGGTGAAACGTAACCCGGGCTCCCGCGTTGCGGAACGTCGTAGCGGTGCGCGCCTTGCAGCAGCTAACTGTAATGCGGCTTGACGTGCTCTGTTCCGCCGTTATATTTATACGTGCGTATCCGGCCCCCAATTTTGTGTCTGCGTGCATGAGCAACGATGGATGTAAACTATACAGTCAGGAAATACAACTTGGCTCAGATAGACTTCAATACTTCTATCCGCCTGCATTTTCATCTGGCGGTCTCCCCACATCCCCTCGTTCATTGCTGTGCATGCGACCGTGCGTGACGTTCGCAGCCCCCACTGCTGCTGTCCCCAGAACGGGCTGTCCAGCTGAGGCTCTGGATATTGTAATAATTTGTACTATCGATCAGCTGGCAGCTGCAGCCAGGTCCCATTGTCTAGGGGTAGGAATAGGCACATTATTGATTAGCATGTAGCATCGCACTTCTGAGGATTTGGCGTCAGGTTTCCCTCAGCACTTTGGCTTTTGTCCTGCCTCCCGCGAGGCCCAAGTGTCCTTTGGAATCCTCTCGAATGGGAAAAGAAAAGTTATTGTGCTCGTCTTTCAGTCCTTTATTAATTGCCCTTCGTTAAAACTGTATTATGAAAACTGCGTCTTCGCTCACTCCCCACCACATCAATAAAGTCAATACCGATTTAGCTAGCTGCAATTGTGTTTGAATGTTTTTTTTTTTTTCTTCATTGCGCAGGATGCACATTATAATTTAAATTAGTGCTTCAGAGAATTCTCTGTGTTAGTTGTCATACTTCCGTGTAAGGCATTTTCTAAGCTTGCTAGCCTAATTTGTCTTGCATTAATATCGGGAAACATTAGGGCCGAGACTTAATAAATACAGACTTTTGTTTGATGATAATATTTCAAATGAACACTTTGCTTCAGATGCTTAATGAACCAAAGCAATGCTGTTATTTTGGTGGGGAAACTTCTTATTAAGCCTGGCAGTATACGCATGAAGAAAGATTGATGAGATCTCTTCCTTTAATGTGGCTTCATTATTTACCGGACATGTACATGAATAAACAAAGGGATGGCAGACTGCTAGCTGCTTCAATTTGCTTGGTAGCCGGCGCATGATCAATGCCTGATGCATCTGGCCAGAGGTGCGGCTGCGTATGAGGGCGCATACTTACAGATCAGCGCATTTCAAGTACATCAGAGATAGTTGCGGCAACATGTGTTCTCTGTTTGAGCCCCTGTGATTGGAGTTTTCTGTTTGTTGTCCTTTGTCTGTACCACCATCTTCCCCCCCCCCCCCACCATTCACACACACGTACACACACATCGTAGACAGATGGTGCAGAAGCTACAGGCGGACTCCACTTCGGGAAAACAGCTGTTGCCGCAAGCCCAGCAGGAGATACTGGAGGGACAGCGCAAGGCCGACAAGGAGCCCCTCAGAGTCACACAACAGGTAACCGTGGCGGGTGAGGGAGGCCCTTAGAGTCACAAAACAGATAACGGTGGGGGGTGAGGGACACCCTGAGAGTCACACTACAGGTAACCATGGAGCGTGAGGGAGGCCTCAGAGTCACATTACCATGAGGGGTGAGGAAGGCCCTCAGAGTCACATTACCATGAGGGGTGAGGGAGGCCCTCAGAGTCACAAAACAGATAACGGTGGGGGGTGAGGGACACCCTGAGAGTCACATTACCATGAGGGGTGAGGGAGGCCCTCAGAGTCACAAAACAGATAACGGTGGGGGGTGAGGGACACCCTGAGAGTCACATTACCATGAGGGGTGAGGGAGGCCCTCAGAGTCACAAAACAGATAACGGTGGGGGGTGAGGGACACCCTGAG